TTTAAGCTTAAAGTGGGCTAAGCAATGCATAATTCCTAGAGCGATCGCTAGGCAAATCTCAATACCGTAAACCATATATAATGACTATATGGTAGTTTCCCAAAAATTAGGGTACCCCAATATAAACCCCAATATATTATAGTCCTTATTATGGGGACCCCCAAAAAGGTACCCCTAATTTTGGGAACTACCCATATAATTTCTACAAGCTTGCAGATCAAAGAAGCCATTCAGCTGAAAGCCGAGGTCACCTTCACCTGCGCTGCTTGAAGGTTATTTATTACCCCATATACTGTGTATATATATATGTATATATATATGCATAACATAGTATACTACTCGTGCAGGTGCAAAATAATAGAAGATATTGTACTATATCGTACATATATAATATATAAACATATGTATGTATATATGTAGGGGTATACATGTTACACATGTAGGGGTATATTGGGATCTATTACGCCCATAAAGGAAGGAGAATCAGGTGGAAAAACGCATGGAACTTTAGATGGGGACTTGGATTCTTTAGGAAACTACATTTCAGTGGATGACGGTGGCAATTCAGCACCTCTGAAGCTCCTCTCAAACCACCACTATTTGACACACTGCAAGATACTGCATGACCGCTGCAAGGAAGGCCAATTCGAACAAAGCCATATCATGGAACTGATGGGCTAAGGATCGGACGAAAGCTTATCTCGCGCTTCCCTTTCTGCCCCGCATCATCCGCTAGAAGGATGGCTTGCTTCTGAATGTCTTCGCCTGTAGCGGTCAGTCCCAAATTGTCTCCAATGGAATGATTTGCGCCTGTGGCCCAAAGGTTGTGGAACGTGAGTGAACATATCGGCATATAAGCACATCACTGTCCAAAGCTGACATCAATGGCAGCAACAAAACACAAGCCGCACTCTATCCAAGTGAGGTCATCTTACTGGTGCTTAGTAGGGAATAAGGGAGTATCTAAATATACGGATTACATAGGGATTATCTTCCCTTATTCCGATTCCCTACTAACAATCAAAAAGTCATGAGAAGTCCAAGCCGGACCAAGTTGCCGATCTTTGCGGCTTGCTCTCTTGCAGCTTTCAGCCAGGTCTCCATGGCAATGGCATATGTATCGGGGTGCGATGGGATAATGGGAAAGAAAATGAGGTACTGTCTAGGGTTGAGGGTTTAGGGGTTCCCAAACTAGGGGTATATTCCCCCCAATAATTGGGAATCAAATGACAAAGGAAATGGAAACTGTGTTTTGGTGCCTGGGTTATAGGTAGTAGGGTTCGAGGGTCCCCATAGTAAGGATGATCGTGTTCTGGGGTCTATAATGAGGTCCCGCCATTTAGGGAAACTACCATGTATAGATATTGAAGATTAAAATGTTAGCATCTGTCTCGCTTGCGTCGCGGTTGTGATTGTCGATGGCTTGCTGTAGTAGAGCTGAAGATAGCTGAAGCAACGGTTTTGGCCATGCACACAGCTGACATTGCCTGCCTGCACTTCCAAGCGACAAGCTGAAACGGAACAAGATCCATAGATTGCAAATCCAGCCCTGTAAATGATCATTCTTGTGCTTCTTGCTGTGTCTCTATTTTCGATTGCGTTGGTAGACTTGCTGGTGCAGCCCGTGCATGCGCAACCGGGCTCCCTGCCGCAGGGAGCCATCCATCAATACCGCAGCGAAGGCGCTGCCCGAGGCACAAAGGTCAGCAACGTCCCCTAGCGGGGCCTTTCGGAGCAAGGCACCCTTTCATTGCATACACATGTTACATCATGTTACACACTGAGCAAGTTAAATCCACTGGGCATCTTGCTAGCTTGTTCTGGTTATTCTCTTACTGGCATACCTTGAAGTTCTGATGATTCGGATGCCTGGAGGGCCCCTCCGGCCATGGGGTCGCCCCAAGCCACGACATGGCGGTCCGCGCGATGAGCAGCGAAAGCAGCCTCCGTCGCAACCACCTGACTGCGTCAACAGGAGGAATTACTCATATTGGGATCTTACTACAACAAACCCTTGTCCCTAAATAGTAGTTTCCATTTCATTTTCCGTTATCCCAATATAACCCCAATGTAACCCTAACATTCTATCTACTTAAGGGGGACTATACTTGTCAGATTTGTCAGCACCTCAGAGCCATGGTGCTAAAGGCGGGCGGGCCTTCTGCACAGAGCTCTGCAGAAGGTCTGACACGGAGTCAGAAACGCCGCCCCCAGTTTGGGAGCCCCACGTCACGACCTCAGCCCAGCTTTTTGAAGTACCTTTCACGGTGCAGCAATTATCCCCCTGACGAGTGATTCCAAGGAATTGGGCCATGGATTCCAGCAACTTAGGTGCTGCAGCAGCCAGCAGCTGTCGCAAATGCCAAAAGGACATTACATGAATACCCCACCATCACAACGGAGACGCATTGCCTTAGCCCTTCTCGATTCCCCAACAGAGGGATCCTCATTTTTCCATTTGCATGCGCGATGCTTTCCATTTGGTTGTCAGTTCTGCTGTTTCTCTTCCATTCTGTTTTCCATGTGGTGTCGTCTTCCAGTGTTTTCATGTGGTTTTCCGTTCTGGCTTTCTCTTGTATTATCTTTTTACATGTTTCTTTTCATTTTGTGTTTCTCTTCCAGACTGTTCTTCTTTTCCCTTCCGTTTCATTGCTTGCCTTTCCGACTTTCATTGTGATTCGCTTTCCTTGCCGCACTCCTTTTTCTTGCTGCTGTCCTTTCCATCTGTGGTTGGTGTTGCTTCGGCTTTCCATTCCTTGCAGAAGGGACCATGGAATGGAAATCGGAACTGACAAAAATTGGCATGGACAACAAACATGGAAAGCTTTGGGTGGTTCATCGGTTCGTTTTCCATTTGGTTTTCCATTCCGGGGCCTGGTTTGAGGGGTGTTTGGGCAAGCGCATCGCTCCAAGCAGGCACGGTTCCTTTGAGGGGTGTTTTCGGTTTTAGGGTCTGGGCGGCGCTGGGCCCACATGCTCACTATTCACTTTCACCATCTATGCACAGGAATGGAATTGAAATGGGATCTGGAAGGGAAGACAACCCCAATGGAACCTGAAAGGGAAACCAAATCCCAAAATGACAAAGCAAATGGAAAGTGAAAAGGAAACGAAATTGAATTCCAAATTCACAAAGCAAATAAAAAAAACTCAACTGGAAACAAATCTCCAAATGGAAAACAAAATTGAACCTGAAATGGAAACCAAATTCCGCATGGAAAACAAAGTGGAACCTGGAATGGAACCTGTAAGCAAAATCCGAATGGAAAACGACATGGAAAAACATGGACCAAGAGTGGAAACCAAAAATCATCACCGCTTGAGGTCAAGCTGTCACAATGCCATCGCCCAACTACGGCGCTGTGGCGGCGACTGAGCCATCGTGTCGCAGAGCAGCAAAGGCGTTGTCGGTAGAGTACCTCCGGAATGACCAAATGTGCAGGATGGGCTGACTGCTTTCTGTGCTTGGCACTCGCCAAACCCATAATTAAAAGCAGATCAATGAAGCCGAACGTGTCCCCAGACAGACTGAAATTAATTGATCCTTCTTGGCATACCGCTGCAAAAGCGACAGGTTTGGAATTTCTCTGCATTCCTGCGTCGAAGCTTGGAGCAAACGCCTGACACGCACACCGGCGGGAGGTCACACTCTCGTCACACCCTCCTGACTTGCGCCATGAATGCCAAACACTATACTATACCTCATCATGTTGCCGGCTGGCTCAAACCTGCCAATGCCTGCAGGCGTTCAGCCACCGCGCTGCAATCGCCACCGCAAGCTGGCAGCAGCATGGGCTCCAAAAGCTCAAAGAACAATCATGCACAAGGTCTACAACATACAGGCTGCACGCTTGCCTGCATGGCCCCAGCAAACCACGCCACCATCTGCATCAACCTTGCAAAGCTTGGTGTCCCAATTCTTTGGTTGGTACAATCCTACATGAACTTGAAGTCTTGTTTTTGGTGCTGCCTGATGTGTGTGGAGCAAAGCTTGGACCGGAGAACTGGAGCTACATGAAGGCAATCCACAAGAAACTACCGGTTATCCTAAGGCAGCCAGCTATCCACACAGGAATGCTTTCGTTTCCAGACTGCAGCAAGAAGAGGCTCCCCACGGCTGCAAAAGCAGCTCGCGTCGAGTAGATACTGCCTGGCAGCAGGTCTGGGACAGGCCACGTGGCCTATGGTCTGGCCACCATCCAGCAATTCAAGAAGATCATGGGATAGATATATATATATATATGGTATATTGCGATAATGGAAATCAAAATGGAAACTGCTGTAGTTAATCGGCATCAACCTGGATGATGAAAGCTAATTTGTGGTCCTGAGCTTCTGGCTAATTCGCCTTGCCCCCAAGTCCGGAACTTTAGCCTCTGTGCATGACAACATGGCGAACGTTCCATTGGCGTTGAGCTCCTGGAAAGCTTTGTGGAGGTAGCTGAACAGCCTACTGACACTCTGCTGCCAAGATTCGCTGGGGTACAAACAGCCCCAACACGTCACGCTTCCGTCGCCTCAGAGGTACTGGTCCAGATTTATCTTGGCGGGTCGCGAGGGACAGAATCAGAAGAGTCGACCTGTTCCGAACCCAGCTGGCGCGCAGAGCAGTTTAGGGCGGCGCGCTTCAAGGCAGCAAAAGCCCGCTCAGAAGTGACAATTCGGCGAACCTGGGGCTAAACCCAGCCGTGCTTCTGTCGACTGCCGCTGATGATGGCTGGTAACTGGTGACTTCAAGCTAAAACCTTGCAGGCAATTTATACACCACAGAACATCTTCAAGAGGATCAAGGTGTCTAAGGCTTGTGCTCCACCATTTTCACTGAGCTGGGCCTGGACACTCTGTGAGGATGCCATCCTAGACCGCCGACCATGTATTTTGTGAGACTACTCCTCAGCCGCTAGCTGAACTGTCAAGCAGTTCGGCCTTTTGCGGCTCCCCCGAACCTCTATGACTCTATGATCCCCCTTGAGAGGGTAGCCTAGACGCAGGGGTCCCCCATTTCCATACATCATATCTGGAGAGGATCCGGGATCCTTTCTACACATCAATTCTACGGAGCGGGCCTGCAAGTTCTCGTCGATCTGACCTCCACAAGACTGGTGACCCCACCTCAGCTCGAAAAGGCGGTACGAAGCCAGCATCGGCTTCCGCACATCCCGGGCTTTTGAAACTCTGTCCCAGCAGCTCCATTAGAGTTGGCCCCAGGCGTCAGCCTTAAGCACGCCCCGAGTCCATCACACAACAACGGAGCCATCAACGCGGATGGCTGCAAATGCCATCAAATTGGCAGCAACCTCCTGGAAAGTTGTTGCGGGATCAGCTGGATCGAACAACTGCAAATCAAATATGCGCGTAAGCGTAGGCCTCATAAGAGTTCTGCAAAACGCTGCCAGAAAGAATGTGCTTGAATGTGGCCTATGCCCCGATGCAGAGGAACCTGCCCGCTCTGTGCTCTACCCTTGTGCGCCTGAACATCCATCAGCTCAGGCCTGACCTGAAGCTGCCAAGCTTCAGATACAAAAAGATGATGATACTGTTGATGGAGGAAATCTTGCACCACCTTAAGTCCCTAAAGTTCTAGGAACAACAGTAGTTTAGTGTCCCTAGATGGTGCAAGATTTCATCCATCAACAGTAATGGAGGTCAATATCCAACATCTGGATCTTAGCAGAGGCTGCCTCGCTGGTGTCTCCGCCAGCGAACGGTGAGCCCCAAGCCACCACGGAGCCATCACCCTTGGAAGATTTCAAGTTTCTGCTACCTATTCATGCTGAGCAGCGGTGACACCTATCTGCGCGACTTAAGGCTAGTCAGGGCCACTGCTGCCCCAGGCAAACCCCAAGCCAACAAATACATTCACACTTCAGGTGCCACTCTTTTTAAGTCCGAGCCTGGCAAGCCGCAAAGGCAAAGCGCGTGGACTGCACACCTGATGCCAAACAGGAGAGCAGATGTGCTTGTTTTCGCTGATATTTTGCGAAAAGCACTGTGCCTCCACATGCTGGCAGGTTCGGTAGGGAAGACCCAATGGACACGCTACATGCGAGTAGTTGGACAGCAATGCTGGGCATCCGCGCGTAAGCGACCCACTAGGGCTGAGAGAACGCTGTCCTGCAAGGGTGGAACACCATGTGTCATTTTGTTTTGCGAGGCTGTTTTGACTCACAGCTTAGCAAAGCACGTGGCAAGAAGTTCCCACCTGTGGAAGATTCAGATGAGCCAGCGTTTCATCCAGCGGCAAAGGCACCTGTTAAAACAGGCTCAACTCTGTCAGAAAATTATCCGAGTACCTGCACTCCACATTCCTAAACGCAACTGCCCAGCATCATGGCTAGTGTTCATCACAGACTTGTCCTGATTTTAAGGTTGATCACAGATCCTTCTGTCAACAACGATGATTCATAGCCTACTTGTAACCCCATGAACCCTATGAACCTGCAGTTTTGGGGATTGCACTTTATGCCTTCAAAACGAGTCAAGACATGTCAAGACTACTAAGCTCTAGGCTTTGGTGGTTACAGGCAGTTCAGCTCCAAGCACCTCGGTAGGGCTGTCAGAAGGAGCAAAGCCCAGCAAAGGCCTGCTCTCACAGGTTGAATTCAAAGCTTGTCAAAAAGACAGAAGCTGCTTGGGGGATTCCCAGATAAACAGAAAGGGAGAGGGAGAATGATATGGCTCCATATATCTGTATATGCATACACGCAAATTATCCAAGCCCGACCCCTTGAAAGTCTGCTACTTCTACTACTTGGTGCGCTCATCATAGTGCAAGCGTGCCGGCAAGCGAGTTAAACTTGTGTCTACAAGTAGCTGAAGCGAACCCTAACTTCACATGGTTGCTGAGAACTTGAAATCTGATGTTCCTTGGTTCATGGTGTCTTTACAATTTCCAGTAAGACTTGGGAAAATGGGCGTGCTGCCCAGCATGCGCTGCATTCTGGCAAGCAAGTATCAGCTCCAAACTTGGGCTTGTGCATTTCGTCCACACAAGTATGCAGCTGGCATCTGGAGTTAATTTTTTGTAGAAATCCATATTTGTCGCAAATGGCAGTGCCGACTACCTACCCCCCGCATCCTTAAGTGAGCCCGGCGTTTGAAAATCTTACGCTCCACACCGCGTTCCTGCCCAGCGCTCGCTGCGCTGCATCTCTGAGTTGGCGAAGCGTGTCGCTGCTTTGTGCAGACACGCACGCCTGCAGCGGATGTCTAGCAACCACTTGCGGGGCATGTGTACACTCGGCATCGGAGGTAACATCAAGTTGTCCATGACATGCGGTACTGATGCTTGTTGCGCCCGAAATGCAACAAACAAAATGGCGGCAGCAGCCTTCTCGCCACTGAGGAGGGTCACCCAAATTCGCAGACGACCTGCCTTGCTTCATAGCTGTCTGGTTGAGGCTCTGTACTCACAAAAATGTATCTAGGGTCTTATAACAAAAACCTTCCTGCTACAAGCCCAGGCAGGCCTCCTCACACATTGACTGTTGTGGCTCCATAGCTGCTACTGTACCAGCTTTGAAAGCTTTAGCATCACGCTTTATCCTTTGAACCGCTGCTTTTGTCACGTTGGGTGCTCCGCGTTTTGATGCGTTGACCGTTCGCGGCGTGATCTAGGCAGCCAGATTGCATTGGCTAAATCCAAACATGCACTGCTTCCCCATGGCTATAGAAGATTCCAAGACTGCGAAATTGTACTTGCAAATTCGCTGCCAGTGGAATGAACTCTCTTTTCAGATGAAAATAATGAAGCTAACGCTGCGATGCTGGAGTGCATTATGTAGACGTAGAAAGCTGGTCGTTGCCACTGAGGCGCTCACGCATGACAGACAACATCTCGACGGTCCTTTTTGCCAGCATGGCCATTTCCTGTTCTGACCCTTGCACGCAAAAGGCGCCATAAGGCGGCCAAGCAGGCAAGGCATCACTTGTGCCAATCCCTCAGAGCAGAATATGCGGCGACAACTTGAGAAGCGCAATGAGAAGAGTAGCAGTGGCCACCAGGACATGCCCACCAGCAGTCACCTTCGTTGCAGCAATTCCTGCATTCACATGCATGCACTTGGATGAAATGCCTGCAGGTTGCTTAAACAAGCTGCGGCTCTTCGGGTCAGACTTGGTCTAGTCAGAAACAGTTTTACTCCGGAAGATTGAGGCTCTCACCGTCAAACAGTGCGCAGTGCAAGCGGAGGGTTAAACCCTTTGAAGCGCTCTACGTTCTGGCGTGGCCCAGCCCACAACCTAAATCAACAAACACAACGCGGACTAGTGCTGATCAGTTGCCTGATACAGCGCGAAAACCACCAGAGCACAGAGGCAAAGCCAGGCCCAGAACTTCGAGACGCTTAGGGCCAAGCCAAAAATCACATCACCTTGGCGTGCCTTGTAGCTCCAGCCTGGGATGCTGTGGATGCGAGCTGCTGGGTTCTCAAATTCAGATTCATCTTGGAACGGCAGGAGAACCGCCCCCGCTCCTCTGCTGACATTGTCTAGGAGGTGTCTGGCTACTTGCAGTTGAGAAGCCAATGTGATCCTCACACTGGGTACAGACTAGGACTCGGTGAGCACGGCCCTCAAACCAGCTGTTTTCCAGCATCGCCTCTGGTCCTGGAGCTTTGTAGGACAAGCCTTGTTCAGTTGCGACCCCGCTTCTCAAGAATAAAGGTGCTATAATTTGCCTTCACAAACCTCGTATCAGCCCCAACGAAGTTCGCAATCAAAGAATGATCTGGATATTACCACAGGATACCACGAGGGATCCCATGTCCACCTTGCAAAGTGGGAAGAGGCACTTAGGGCCCAATTTTCAAACTCGTTGTGGCAGCATCAGACACCCAGCCGCAGCCCTTTCCCAACAAATCGCGTCTTCCAAATGCGAGCAAATCTGCCCCTCGCAATTCAACACCTTGCCAAACCCATGCTCGCAGAAAGCAGTTGTCCGGCCCGTTGCGGGGAGCTGCAAGCCCAATACCCCAGTGGTGGAGAATCAAGGGGGAAAAAAGAACATGCGCAATGAATCGGAAACTGAGTTTTCGGGATTCGGAACCATCAGAACTATCAAAACTAGCATGATCGCTTGCTGTGCGCTTCTAGATCTGTTCAATAGTTTGTCGCAGGTGCCTATTTCTGTGGCGGCTGTCTTGACAATCTTGTCCACCAAGACCAGCTCAAACCGCCGTGGGAAGGGATTGATGACAAAGGATTGGCCTTTCATGCAATGCAGCGACGGCACTATGTCAGAGATGCGGTAGCACTATCAGCCGTCCCTTGCCCCTGGTAATGCTGCCAGGACACAAGTGGAGAACTGCAGAGTTCTCTTTCCAGCAACTTCACAGTCGTGGCCTGTGATGCCCGAGCATGGCACCACCCGCGGATCCCAGGCAGGTAGGAGCGACGCTGCCTGAGCACTTTCAGCTTGGCTCTCCCAGGTGCTATTCCTGAGACCTACCTGCTACATGCCTAAAAGCTTGCAGCAGGTTAGAGGATGCTAGCCCGTGCCACCAATGCCATGAGCCCCTCACCTTGTGCTCAGAACCTTTCCTCTACTGCAAGCCGGGGCAGTGACACTGATGTTTCTAAAAATGCTTGGCCATTTTTGGATTACCGCCCTCCAACCTCAGCGAGCTCTTGCCCGCAGGTGGAGCAGCGATAGGAAGCACCAACAAGCTCAGCAGGCATGATGTTGCTGAAGGCTGCAGCTTGGGAGCTGCAGCTGATGTAGGTAAGAGGGCTTTGAAAGTAAGAGTGAAAGGAGTGGCGGTACGACTTGGAATGGTGATATGCGCAGTGATGAAATTCTGTGTATGGCTAAACGGGCAAAGGGGAAATCAACCTGGCAATTGTGGTGTTGCTAAGGGAGGTGGCGGCACGAAGAAGTCGTTGTTGCCTTGCTTAGTCTAAAGTCACTGCACTTGTTGCATTTCTCTTTTCCTATGTCAGCACTGTTGGAAGGGCCTGTTATTTGCACTACTGCTCTTGTAGGTGCCCCATACGGTCATGTGGTGACCCTACTCATGATCCTGCTTAGCCAGCTGTTTTGAGCAGAACAGGGCATGGATGCATGTAAAATTGCTTGAAGCACCCTCAAGACCATCATGATCATGACGTTGAACAGCCTCAGAATGGTTCAGCTTCTCTGATTGTCGTGAATGGGCAGTGAAGGACTCAGAGGGTATTAAAGATGGCAGAATAGTATAGCTCCAGAACCCTTTCTGGTTGAACCACGCCAAGGATGATAGGGCTGAAGCCATCGCTCGAGAGGTCCAAAATCCAGAGTTGGTTACCAAGCCAAACTGCGGTCATGTCGGACTTTCTGCAGGTCTGTTTGCTCCACAGTTCCTGGCGGCCTTCCACGTTCTCTCCTCCCGGCTTTGCTGGGGCCAACCATGTCATTTGGCCAGCTTTCTGCTACCCTCTCAGAAGTCTTGGCCAGTCACCTGATTCGCGTGGAAAAATTAATGACGCTAGCCCCATACCCACGCCGCACGCACGAAGCACTTTGCAACAGCTGCGAAAACGCTGAGACGGGCCTGGTGCAGGGTTTCCTTCGCGACGCTGACCTCAACCTGCTTGGACTTGTCGGAAATGATACTCGGCATGAAAGACGAAGACTGCTCGGTCTATGCGCCACAGCTGACACGCATTTCGTTAACATCCTGCGCAGATCCGAGAGTTCGCTCGGACATCCGGGCTCTGCAGACGCATTTTACGTCTTTAGACCTTCGTATTCTATGCAATCGACATGCGCAATAGCAAGTACAAGCACGGCGCAATTCATAGCAGCTGCCAACCAGATATGAGGACGGTTCTGCCAAACAGAAAGTCAACAGGCGAAGGAAGCAATTTAGCCAATGAACCTCCGCACTTGGTGCAAGGTAGTCTCAGGAAACCCACAGCTCTTGACGTTGGTATTTCTTCGCAGCTGCGGATCGTGTAAGGGGTATTCTGCGGACCCTGACTTACAGAAAACTACACATGAGGTATAGTCTAAACTCCTTGAAGGGGTTATATAGGGAGTATTCTACGGGTTACTAAGGGGGATACTAAGAGTTTTGACTATAGCTCACATGCCCGGTAATGGAGGCATCTGTTCTTGGATGCCTTCCAAGTCGGGCAACTGGCGAAGACGAGACTCATCCTGAACAAAGTCACTGAGCTGGAGACAAATCTTGACATCATCTTCTGGTCGTTCTGGAACCCGGAAGGCTGAAAGGACTACGCTCTTTGCCATCAAGAACTTTCTTGGGTCGTCCGGCATTCTGAGACACAGCCTGTTCATGTTTTTGGTCGACTGCATTGCCTCAGACCGTGTGGTTTGCCTGAAGTTGCGCAGGCGGCTGCGGACTGATTCCCAATCTGTGGGCCTGCACAAGCTTCGAAGAGTTGGCATGCCAGGGTCCACCTCTGCATCCGTCTGGCTGCGTTCGAAGCTTAGGTGGGCTTGTTGAATGTCGAAACCCGGGCTAGCAGCATCAACAAGCAACATCATCCCAGCCAGTTCTGGCAAAGGCTGCCAGCGAGAGCTGCATGTTGAGACAGATCCCGACGCAGATGAGGCGTTTGACCTCGCACTGGGTGATCGCTGCCTGATCATGTGCGCCGGATCTGCGTGTATTGCATGCGCTGTGGCCTGTGCTGTGGTCTGCTGTGCCGGCTCACGTCGCGACTCTGAATCTTCACTAAGCGCCAAGAGGTGGTACGGGCTTTCAGCTCCAAAGAGATGAGGCACCGGGACATGGAACACATCAGCTGCCACACGAGTGTTTGAAGCTCCACAAAGAGAAACCCTCAAGCAGGGTGGTGCAGTCGTCATTGAGGAGTCTCTCGGTTGCGCAGCTTCTTCCGTGGAAGTGGCAATGAAACGCTCAAAGCCCTCCCTCTCGTCTGGCGGCAACCTTGGACGACAGCTGCAGGCGAGAAGTGCGCATGCAGCAGATACTTTACCTACACAGACATGAAGGAAGGGAGAGCGTGGATTAGGCGAATAATGTCTTTCATCTCAAACCACAGATCGGCAGCAGCATCGCAAAGGCCTTCCCATGCAAGTCAGCTCCTCAGTTGAAGCCAGTGGTGGTGAAAACATGCGGACACCGAAGCAGAAGTGGTGGTGGTGCTGGTGGGGCGTGTGGTGCTGGCGGTGCTGCTGCCGCCGCTGCTGCTGGCGCTGGTTGATTTTGATGAGGCAGTACTGGCAAAGGCGGAGTAGCAGAAAGTAAGCAAAGCCTGTGCTTGGTGCTGGTTGCCGCCGAGACCGCTCATGTACAAAACAACAGTGGTGCTTGCGAAACTGCGAGCCTTTCTGAGTCAGGTCACATGCACTGCTGAGCGACCTGATTGCAATCTAAATGGCAACATGCCTAAAAGTAGCGGAGGTACAGCACTTCAGACAGACCCTGCTCAAAAGGAGGTTGCCCGGAAATGTCAACACGAACAGACTTCAACGACCGCATGTCACCAGACCAAACACCATTCCTATCAGATTCCAATACACAAGCATGCCAGGAAATCAATTACGCCCAAGAAAACACAAAGATGCAGCAAGAAGCCCCAACACATCTGCACCACCAAGGGTCTGTTCATCAGCAAATTTTGCAGGCATTCTCCAGTGCCATGAATCCTCAGCCCGGTCAGCTTCAACTCTGGCGCTCCAGCGCTCAACGCAAGCACATGCCTCCCATCAACAAGTATAAGACAGAAGACTGTCTAGCCTGGTCTCGTCAGCTCACTGGTGAGCATCACATCTCCATCACACACTCCGCGGAGCATGCGGCGGAATCCGAGCACAAGAGAGTCCGCATCTGCTGAGTCCAACAGAGCCTGTATTCGGGATCGAACAAGCAGTTCAAGAATGCCACCGACGCTGACCGTGGCGACGCTATACTGCACCTCAAAGAATGCCAATGTAACAGCGGACTGCCGCGGAGTGTGAGTGCGGATGACCAGGTCGGAACATAGCGAAGCAAGCGAAATCCTTGACTTCAGAAGTTCGAGAAACGCAGGACCCTAGTCCTCAATAATCTTGAAGTCTTCGCAGCTTTGTAGTGTAGTGACATCAGCAAGCAGTTGAGAAGCTCGTGGGCTATTTCTGCTGGTATCCCGCTGCCGTCATGTAACGGAGCGTGACAAGGACAAGGACTGCGACGACAACAACGACGACACCTTGACGACGACGACGACGACGACGACGACGACGACGACGACGACGACGACTACTACCACTCCCGTTGTCCTTGGTTTAAGCCTCTCTATCAGCTTGATGCCTGTTCACCTGCAGCCACACCT